TCTCCCTCCTACTCCCTCCTCTCAGTGTCCCCCACCTCCTCAGTGCTCGGGCCTACTCCCATTCAGACCCAGACCCAACCCCTCCGCCTCCAGGTCTCCCCTTTTTCTCTCGCCCCCTACCCCCAGCTCTCTTCCTGGCCCAACTTGCTCCCCTGTGGCCCCGCCCCCCAGGGTCCGGCCCCGCCCCCTCGCCTTTCCCGCTGGGGCGCCCCAAATCCTTGGTCCGCGCTCCTCCCCGCTCCCTGCAGCACCCCTCGCCCAGCCCAGGCCCCGCCCCGTCCTGCAGTGGCCCCGCCCTCTCGCCCCGCCCCCCGGCAGCCCCGCCCCCCTGCGGCCTCTACCTTTGACGTCTTCCCTTGGGAGCCGGCGGGGGTCGGCGACCGAATGCCGGCGAGACTCAGGGTCGGCGGCGACAGCTGGCGCCGCGGGGGGCAGCGAGGTGACCGTGAACCTGCGGCTCATGGCGCGCGGGGCGACGGGATCGCACAAGTGGCCGCAGCCGGGCTGCTGAAGCGCCAAGAGCTTCCCCGCCCGCCGCGCGCCGCGCCGGGTCCTAGTGCCCGCTGTGCCAGCCTCCCCAGTCTGGCCACTTCTCCTTAAGACCCTGGGCTGTCAGTTTCACCAAAGGCACCTGAGGAGCCCACCCAGATGTGAGTCACTTCTCACGGAGGGTTTCTCCACCTCTGCTGGGGTCTCCTGAACACCTGGGGTTCGTTCACTCAGCACAAGTTGATCCTGTTTTAGGCGATGGGACCTCTGCCCATAGAGCAGTGAGCATCAACTGTCTACTTGACTTCCTGAGGCTTGCGTTCTAAGGAGGGCATCAGAGAAAGTGTGTGAGCAAATAGGGAGATATCATCACCTGAGACTGTGCCATACCTTAGGAAGGAAAATTAGGGCCATTGTTGGGGAGAACTAACGGGGTGATCTGAGAAGGACTCCCAGAAAGCATCAGACCCGAGTGAGACCTCACTGATAAGGAGAACCAGCAATGCAGAGATCTCGGGGAAGAATTCTCAGGCAGAAAGAAGCAGCAGCAAGTCATAGGTCTAGAGATGTGACTCGGTGGGCGGATGCTGCCTAGCATGCACAGGGCCCTGGGTTTAATACTAGGCATTCTTGAGTAGCAAGTGAAAAGGCCCTGGGGCAAGAAGGGGCCTGGACTGTTCAAGAAAGAGCAAGATGGACACTGTGTCTGCATCAAAGTGAATGACTGACAGGTGAGGAGGAGAGCAAGCAGCAAGTCTGTGGGGCTAGTTTTATATCAATTTGGCACAAGCTAGTCATCTTAGAAGAGGGACCTCGACAGAGAAAATGTCTCCACCAGACTGGTCTGTAGACAAGCCCGTGGCTCATTCCCTTGGTTAATGATTGCTGTGAACAGTGCCACCCTGGGCCGGTGGTCCTGGGTGCTGTAAGAAAGCAGGCTGAGCAAGTCACAAGGAGCGAGCCAGTAAGCAGTGTTCCTCATGGCTTCTGCTTCAGCTCCTGCCTCCGGGTTCCTGCCCTGACTTTCCGCGGTGATGGATTGTAATGGACATGTAGGCTGAAATTTAAAAAACGAAAACCTACTTTGCTTTGGTCAGAGTGTTCTCTATCACAGCAATAGAAACCGAAGACAAAATTTTTGAATTCTTTTCTAATCTGAAAGGGAAGCCGCTGGAAGTTTGGTGCAGCAGGACAGTGATCTAATGTATATTTAAACAAGATCAATGGCTCTGACAGCCGCACTAAAGGCATGGGAAGATGACTCAGTCAGTTAGGTGTGCATCGGGGGTTCAGTGCCTGTAATCACCTGGCTGACGAGGCAGAAACATGAGGGTCTCTGGGACTCAGTGGCAGCCAGCCCAGCCAGGCCTCAGAGAGAAAGAGGGAGACCCTGTCTCAAAACACAAGATGGGGCTAAGGGTAGCAAGACAGCTCGTCAGGTAAAGGCGCTTGCCGGCAAGTCGAACTACATGAGTTTGGTCCCGATCCATGTAGAGTAGGGAAAGAACCCACTCCTGTACGTGCTCATCTGACCTCCACACAAGTGCTGTTAGACACACATGACACAAAGTAAATAAATGTAATGTTTTTAATCAAGATGAAAAGTGCCTGAATTGACACCCAGAGTTGACCTCTGGCCTCTGCCTGTACCCACACACGTGTATGTGCCTGTCTACACACACACACACACACACACACACACACACACACACACACACACACACACTCGGGCAGAAGTCAGGAGTGGATACCAGGAGCCTCCTGAAGAGCTGGTGGTGGGCAGTCTAGAGAAGGCACAGACATCAGACACACTGTGGAAGTGTAGTCAGCGGAACATGGCATGGGATATGACAATGGAATCGGATAGTAACCACACTGTAGTGTAGAGTAGAAACAGTCAAAACCCCTCTGGAGCGCTGTTTGCTCACATCTCTTAAGGCTGGGCATAGACATGCCCTTTGGCCCAGAAGTTTTACTCCACTTTGTGGGAAGAAAAAAATGGCTACCCATGTGCTCCCAAAGACTTTTGTGTTCCTTTTATTTTTTATTTATGAGTGTGTGTGTATGTGGTATGTGTGTATGTGGTGTGTGTGTGTGTGTGTGTGTGTGTGTGTGTGTGTGTGTGTGAGTATGCGCATGCATGTGTGTACAGTGCACATGGAGGCCAGAAGAGGATGTTGGATTCCCTGGAACTGGAGTCACAGGCAGTTGTAAGGCACCAGATATTGGTATTGGGAATTGAACTTGGGTCCTCTGCAAGACAACCGACTACTTTGACCTCTGAGCTGTCTTTCCAACCACTCTCCCACCAAGATTCTTCCAAAAATGGTCATAGCAGTATTATTCACAATGATCCCAGACCTGAATCTACCCAAATGTCTACCAATAGCAAAATAGATCACTGTCAGGCTTTTACACAATGGAATTGGACATAGTGCTAAAGTTAGACCATCTACTATTTACAAAAAATGCACAAATCTCGCAGACATTGACCAAAAGGATTCGAGAGACTCAAAGGGTACGACACGACACACCTTACAGAACTGTCTAAATAGTTGGGGGGGCAAAGGGAGGGCTTAGTGGTGGAAGTGCTGGCTGCAGAGCCACAGTGGAATGAACGTTGTTCTCTGTGTGTGAATGTGTCCGTCCACAGTCACACAAAGGTGGAGGCACCTGGAGGAGGAAAAGTTGGGTCTGTTGAGGTGGAAAGCCTGTTAGGTCACGAAGAGCGGGCAGTCGAGCCTGAGTCTAGGGCTCAGGGGAGAGGTTCAGTTGGGGATGTCGGTTTGGACAGATGTGCTGTTCAAAGTTGGACACTGGTGAGATCAGAGGGAGTAAGTGTCCACAGTGGAGAAGCTGAGAACTGAGCCTTGGAGCAGGCTACCATGAGAGGTTACAGGGAGGGAAGAGAAGAGCCGGGAGGGGACGTGTTCCTAACACTAAACGTGAGAAAAACGCTTCTGGAGAGAGAGCGAGACGGACTGTCACATCACATGTGTGGATGGAGGATAGGCAGTGCGCCCTGTGCTGACGTGGGAGGTCACAGGTGACTCAGTGGCACTGTGAGGGAGGAGCCTGTGGTGAATAGTTGTTGAGGGCAAGGGAAGAAGGAGGTGGAGACGAGAGCAGGACCCACCCACGGGTAAGTTTTACTGTGAGTGGGCCTGGGGGAGGGGAGAGTCAGGGTAGTGTCCCAGGGGAGACGGGGTGGAGAGAGGGTTTGAACAAGGCGTGTTAAGGAATGCTTGTGTGCAGAAAGGAGTGTCTCATTCCTAGGCTAAAAACAGACCTGCTGGGAGAGGAGCACTCCCAGAGGGGTGGCTTGGGGCGGGGGGCCGTTCTCTGACTCCCCAGAACACCTGACCACCCCTCCCCCTCTTTCTAGCCGTCCACTGACAGCACAGGCACCCTTGGGCTCTCCTTGGGGTGTGCAGCCCCCATTGCAGCCGCATTGCTACTTTCTCTCTATTAGAACTCTGTGACCACCATCCTTGTGTGCGCTGTTCCGTTTTCAGGTTGATGCTTTGGCAGGATGGTTGGCCGGAGAGGTGGATCGGAGTTAAGGGCACTTGCTGCTCTCCCAGAGGGCCAGAGTTCACCTCCGGGCACTGGCATGGGGCAGCACTCTGTGGCCTACCATTTTAGTTCTAGGGGATCCAACGCCCTCCTCTGGCCTCCTGAGGCATCAGCACACATGTATGCATACGAACACACACACACACATACACTCTAGATTAAAAGAAAGTAATTAATTAATTAATTTAGCAAAAGACTGTCCCACTTCCCCAGGAAGACACTCGGTCATCCTTCCTGGGTCAGTTCCAGCTGAGGGGTCATCTGGACTGAAGGACATTAGCTCAGCCACAATACCCAGGACCCTCCCACACACCTCTCTAGCACACAGGCTTTGCACTCTTCAAGCTCAATGATGTTGTTGCTGCCAGTTACAGTTTCCCCTGTGAGTGAGCTGGATTCTCAAGAGTGGAGTCCGGGGTCTGGTTCAAGCAGGTTTCCAGGACTCTGAGAGTCACTGAGCAATCCTTGAAGGAAGGACCAATATCCAATGAATTCCTCTGTGCCCAGCACCGAGTACAGAGCCTGGCTCCCTAGGGATGCTCTCAATAAATGTTTGATGGATGAATGAATAGCTTGGTGGTGTCCTCAGCTGTAAACGAGAAATGGTTACATAAGACCTTCCAGGAGGGGTAACTGAATACCTTAATATTTATGCCGAGCTTGGAGCACTGCCTGACACAGAGTAAGCATTCTATCAGTTAAATACATGCTTGTGAACGTGACCACATACATAATAAATAAGACTGGCTAGAGTCAGCGAGGCAGCGAGGCAGATGAGGTCCGTGCTACGAAAGCCTGGGAAGCTGAGTTCAACCCCCAGATCCCACAGAAAAACAGGACAGAACCGACTCTAAGAAGTTCTCTTCTGACCTCCACACGCACACGCATGGACACACACACAGCGAAGGAGAACCCATTAATTAAAGTAGCCGGTCAAGGGTAGGAAATCAATGTTTATTAGAAACAGTCCAACAGGAAAGGAAGGTGTGAAGAGAGGGCCCAGCCCGCCTCCACGCCTTCCCATTCTCTAGAAGAGATCACCAGTCTGTATCCCGCAAACTGGCTGCTTTCCCTCTGGGTGGTCTCTCGCGCACTGCACTGCTGATGAAGAGGAGGAGCCCTAGTTCTCGGGACAATGCAGGAGGTCGTAGGTCACATAGCCCACCTGGTCCACTTGGTTCACCTCCTCTCGGAAACTCACACGCCAGAAGAACTGGTCGTGGCAGAAGTAGGCTTTGTCTGTGGGGAACAAGGAGACACAGACAAGCTGAGGCCTGTACTCCCTTACAGTCACAGAACAAGATTTTTACAACCACCCTGTGGCGGTTCGAATGAAATGGCCCCCATACGCTCACAGGGAGGGGCCCTAGGAGTAGGTGTGGCCTTGTTGGGGGAAGTGTGTCACTGGGGGAGGGCTGTGAGGTTTCAGATGCTCAAGCCAGGCCCAGTGTCTCTCTCTTCCTGCTGCCTGCCGATCCAGATGTAGGACTCTCAGCTACCTCTCCAGCACCACGTCTGCCCGCACGCTGCCATGCTTCCCGCCATGACGACAATGCACTAAACAGCCTCTGAACTGTAAGCCAGCCCCAGTTAAATGTTTTCCTTTTTAAGAGTTGCCATGGTTATAGTGTCTCTTCACAGCAATAGAACCCTGACTAAGACACACCCCTCCTGGCCTTCCTGTATCTTTCTGTGGTTTTTACATGACACTTTCGGTTCTTCTACCTGCCTGAGATGCTGGAGGACACGGACCTTGATACTCAAAGTAGTGGCAAGCCCGGTGCACAGTAGGTGTTCCACATACAGGTTATGAATGAATCGGCAGATTAATGAATGGGTAGTATTTTAATGCTCAGTTCAATTCATCCAACAACCATTCACTGGACAAACTCATTCATTCATTCTTTCATTCATTCATTATTCATTCAACAAATATTTACTGAGTACCAGCCGTGTGCCAAGTACTGTGAGAGGCCTGAGGAAAACAGTGGGAAAACAGAGACATGATCTCAAGATACAGGAAGACATCAAAGAAAGTGAATACATAACGAGGGTCAGGCGGAGACTCTGAAATGGTGACCTTAGCACTGAAGGATGAGAGGGCGGCATGGTGACAGTGTGGGTGGGGAGCCCTCCAAAGAGGGGAACGGCCGGCCCAAAGGCCTTAAGCTCAGAAGGACCTTGATGAGCAGCAGCCTAGGTGGAGCACCCTGACTATGGGGAGGAGATGAGAACTTGGAAGTACAAACAGGGCAGCGTCAGGCCATGTTAGTTTCTTCCACCTTAGCACTGGCTTGAGCTCACCCTCAGGACCACTGCCCTCCACTCCTGACCTCTCCTCACTCTCACAGAATATATTAAAGGTTATTGGACAAATGGTATGGTTGGAGGGAGGGGTATAAAGGAGATGGCTGAAAATGATAGATTTGGGCTTTAGCCTCAGTCTAAAACTGCCAACTAATGGAGTATGAGTATTGAAGAGGAGATAATGCAACTCTAGATAATATCTCTATTTTACAGATGGGGAAACTGAGGCCCCAAGAGAGGCAGTGACTTGCCCAAAGACAGCCAGAACTTTCTTGCCTCTCGGTGTATCCCCAGTGCAGCCCTGCACTGATTACTGATTATTATTCCTTTAGTAATAAAGTAATAAAGGAACGAGCCTTCCGAGAACTGTGCTCTGTGCTGGAGTTCCCGATAGAGAAAGAAATGCAAGCAGTCTGGAACCTAGATCTGACTGTGTGAACTCGGGGCGTTTCCCTCAGTCTTCAAGGACTGAGAACCTGGCCAGTCACTAGGTGTGGGAGACGTCTCATGAAGGGACCCTCCCCAGCCAGCACCAGCAAACCTCACCTTGGTACTGGAAGATGTCGTGTGAGTTCCAGGGCACCCCAGGGAACATCTTATCCAGGCGAGTGACACTCTGGGGATCCACCCTCTGCGTCTTCAAGTCGAATCTGCAGGAAATCAGACAAGCTCTGAGCCCCTCCCGCCCCCACGGGCTGCGGGTGAGTGGCGCCAGGGCTCCCCCTACCGGCGGCTGCGGTTGCTCTCACCTCCACACACGCTCCCTGCTGAACAGCAGAGCCTTCCCGCCGTGACGCGGGAGGAGTCCGGTGACCTGCGTTACCCCAGAGCCTAGACCCAGCTTCTCCAGACGCCTGGGGCCCAGCACCGACTGGCCTGTGTACACCCACACTTGGCGCCCTACAAAAGAGAAGGGGCACAAAGGGGGAGCACGGTCTGTTTGAATGCCAGGAGGGAGAAGCCAGAGGGGCCTAGTCTCAGATGCCACTCAAGGGTCAGGACAACCGAAATTCACTAGCCTCCTTCCCATAAATGTCAAATCACATCTGCCGGGAGGGGGACCCCACCCCCTTTGCATGGCAGTTTCAGGGGTTACCCTGGGTCTCTGTGTAACCTGAGCTGACGGGGACTGAGGAATGGGCGGGCTAGGGATGCACAAACTAACCAGAGAAGAAGAAAATCTTCTTGGACAGCGGATCCTCAAAGGCTGAGTCCAGCTTCGCAGGCAGAGCGGGCCACGTGCGGGCAATAAGAAAGGGGCCCTGCAGTGGGCTTCCTCTGCGATTCAGGAACTTCCAGTACCGGCTGAAAGAAAGGAGACAGCAGGGCCCTCAGCCTTGGCCAGGGGAGGAAGGTGGGTGGGAGACGCAGGCACGTTCCTCCCCAAGACCCTCTCTCCCACCCACACACCCCGCCTGCTCACCCGTCCTTGAAGAAATACAAAGAGCCCTGGATCTCAGCAATAGCGTCGAAAATACCCACAGTGCAAGGATTGTCTGCCGGCCTCAAAGACTTTGTCGTGGTCTCAGAAGGGCCAGCAGTAGGGGGGTCGGTAGGGCCAGCAGTAGGGGGGTCTGTAGGGCCAGCAGTAGGGGGGCCGGTAGGGCCAGCTGCAGGGGGGCCGGTGGGGCCGACCGTGGGACTCTGTGTAGGGTAGGCGGTGGGAGGTACTGTGGGGCACAGAGTGGGAGGAGCTGTCGGCTGTGGTTCAGCTGTGGTGGTGGCTGGCGGCCTTGGGTCAGGCTTGGGGCCGGGACCTAAAACAAGACACTAGGTAAGACACGCATTTCTCTGCAGCCCCAGCCTACTCCTGAGCCCAGCACCGATGTCTTCCGTCTTCCCTTGACGATGGAGGCCACAAGCAGGCCTCTCCCCACACACCAAGCCTAAGTGTCCACGCTGAGCTCTGTGAAGATACGGACTGGGTTGTCAGAACAGAACCACGGGCAGAATCTCCCTCCCTCCCCCAAGTCAGGAGGGGCAAGAGTCTTTTGAGTGGCCACAGAGTCAAACAGTGCTGTAAGCATTATAAACTCGAAAGATTAGCTCTTCAATACCCCCCCCTTTCTTTTTTCTTTTTTCTTTTTAAAAGATAGAGTCTCACTACATAGACCTGGCTGGTTTCCAACACACAGAAAACAGCCTGCCTCTGCCTCCAAAGTGCTGGGATTAAAGGCATGTGCAAGCACACTTGGCCTGCTCTGCCTTTGAAGGTCCTTTTGGGGCTGAAGAGAGAGCTGAGTGGCTAAGACCACTGGTTGCCCTTCTGGAGGACCTGGGCTCCTTTCCCAGCACCCACATGGTAGCTAAGAATCTGTAACTTCTGTTC